TACAGATTTAAGCCTTGACCTTATACTTGCTGGCTGGGACACCTTCCAAAATGTATCTGACCTCCCTGTTGAGTCTGTTCTCAATTCCTATAATGGATGTGATAACAGCCACCTGACAGATGTGGTGAAGATTAATGAGATAATTCAGTGTCAGCAAGCTCTATAAACAATGAGATTTCAGTGTCTAGTCAGCTGGGGCTTTTATGTTCGTACTGATGTCACAGGGACACCAACAAGAGATAAATGTATTTTCTGTATACTTTGTTTAAGGGAGAGAGTAAGATAGAATGGAGGAATTCTGACCCTGAAAGAGAGAAATAAAGCTCCTCAGAAAACGCGTCTCTGTGGGATGATTTGTTCGTGACGATTAGGCTTTACTGAGAAGTGACAGGTGCAGAGAATGAAACAGAAAAAGTGAGGTGGGCCAGATTGTCAAGGGCCCTGTGGGCCATGCTGGGGAATTTGGACATACTTTTCACACATTTGACTCCATATTTCATAAAGTACTGAAATATTAAAAAGTACAAAAACATAAGTCACAGTCAGAGAAGATATAAATTAAAGGTGTTAAGGGTGAACTTCCTGTAGACTCTGAGCATGCCGCAACCAAAGCAAAAAGGAGGAAAAAAAAAGGGCAGTCCCATGATCTGCATTGTTCATGAGGACAAAACATCAGCTCTCATGACTAACAAAACTTTTACTGGCACTTAAATGAGTGACTTTTCTTGGGGAGGACTTTATAAAAGAGGCACAAAATAATGTGTGGCATAGAATGTTCTCACCAGCATCCTAACGGTAAACACAATAGGAGGTTTAATGGGCTTGTTTCTTATAGGGTCCCTCTCTTCCCCTTCCCAACTTTATTTTTCCCCATGGCATTTATCACCTCATTTACTACATTATTTACCTCTTCATTTTATTTATCATCAGCCAGCACTAGCTTATCATTTCTAAGAGCCAGCCTTGTTCATTCTTGTGTTTCCAGGTCCTAGAACAGTGCCTGGCACATAGTAGGTGCTCAGTCAATATTTGTCATATGGCTGTCATATGAATGCAGGTGTGACTGAAACTTTTTAAACCTGCAGCTTTTCAAAGTGAGCTTCCTACCACTGAGAAAGTTCCATTAATGTACAAATGGAATATTGGACATCAAGCTATTGGGAAAAATTGAGATTCTGCATTGGGTTTTAAGATTAATCTCTGAGGGTCACTTTTCATTTTCCTAAAAAAAATACTTTTACATGTAAATATACAATAATTTTGCAAGGAAATAGGTTTGCAAGGAAATAGCAAGGAATTTACTTTTAAGATTTATTTATTTGTTTTTATTATGTTAATCACCATACATTACATCATTAGTTTTTTTTTTTTTTTTAGATTTTGGCTGACCTTAAGTCTCTTTTTCTTTTCTTTTTTTTTAATAATTTTTTTATTGTTATGTTAACCACCATACATTACATCATTAGTTTTTGATGTAGTGTTCCATGATTTATTGTTTGTGTATAACACCCAGTGCTCCATGCAGAACGTGCCCTCTTTAATACCCATCACCAGGCTAACCCATTCCCCCGCCCCCTCCCCTCTAGAACCCTTAGTTTGTTTTTCGGAGTCCATAGTCTCTCATGGTTCGTCTCCCCCTCCGATTTCCCCCCCTTCATTTAAGATTTATTTATTTATTTTAAAGAGAGAGAGAGTGCAAGCATGGGGGTGTGGGGAGAGGGGCAGAGCCAACTGTGTGCTGAGCCGGGAGCCTGATGTGGGGCTCGATCTCTAGACCCTGCGATCATGACCTAAGCCAAAACCAAGAGTCAGACACTCAACCAACTGAGCCACCCAGTCACCCTGCCCTGCTAAGCTACTAATTTTAAGTAAGTCCATTTTGGCTTTTATGCTGGTTAAGTCAATTGGACCTAGATTAGTGCTGTCATAGTGGGTTAAACTTCTTAAGGTTGGTATAACGTTTACAACTTTCAGTGATCACAGTTTTCCACAACAAAGATGCTAACAACATAGTTTCCTAGTAAATATTCATGGCTTCTTACAAATCAAGTCTTGAAACTTAATATTAAAACAAACCTCTTAATATTGTAGGAAAGCTCATTGTTCTTAGAAAATAGACAGGAAGAAATCTAACTTTATGGGCCATACGATACAGAATACATAAAAACTTAAGTAGATTTTATGGTCATGGGTATGTAAACATTTGTTAATCTTCTTTATCAACCAATCAAAGTTTAAGAATCAATTCCATGTTTTGCTTGGTCAAAAACAATTGTTTCAACAGTTTCTTAAACTGTTGAACTGTTCTTTCAACGTTCTGGCTTAAAACAAAGCAAAACAAAATGTGTGGCTTCCGTTTTAGCTTTAGATTTAATAAAAGCTAACTTGAAGATACTTGATTTGGTGTTTTTGATAATTTATTTCCACAAGCAACATATTTTCCATGGAACATAACAGATGAATTATATGCAAAATGCATCCCCCAAATAGCCAAAGAAATTGATCTGCAATATGGAACTGCTGGATGCAAACCAAGTAAATTTCAGAGGACAACCGACAAAAATAATGACACATAGTAATTTATTATGATGCTGAGGCCCATTCTGCCCACACAGTGTTTATATTTCAAAGGCAGTCACAGATCTGCAGATGCACAAAGGGCTCCAGACAGGTCCCTGCAAATATCAAAGGTGTACTCTGTTGCACATTTGGGCAAGGAGGAGATTTTCCTTAAAAGATAGTTCTAGAGGAAGAGTTTCCTATTTAAAAGGCTGCCTTTCTAACAGTCTTGATGCAGCTTCTCCCAGCTTTGAACTACAAAGTCTTGCAAACACACACAAAAGGAAAAAAACCACCTCACGGTATCCTGAAAAAGCAGATAGGGAGTCAAGAATTGCTAGCAGGCCGAGCGAGTTTCCATTTGCCAAAAAGACGTGCGAGAAAGGATGGAAAGAGAAGGCAGAAAATTTAACTCTAACTTAAGAAGAAAAACCATTGCTTTTATTCCACTTGTTCTGGTTTCTAAGAATGTGTTCTTAAACTTAAGAATTGATTATGCAGATTACAAGAATTTCTCCTGTTCCCTTAACAAAAACATACCTACACAAAATCTGGCAGTTTGGTTGGGCTAAATGTCACATTTGATGGGTCTCTCGCTTGGTTGCTGAGGTCACGGGTCCATCCACTCCTGGTTTAGTCACTTTTGGGGCATCCTGTTAGAGTATAAACTATGATCTCATTGTGCAAGGGATGGATTTTCTTAGAAAGGGGTCTGGTGGGGATGGGGCAAGTTAGATGGAAAGCACTAGAAGTATAGCTACAAATAGAATACGTCCATAATACAATTTTGCATAATGCCTCTGTGGGTGTTCCTTCCAAGAATGCAAGGTTGAGTGAGGACTAGGGCTTCTAAACATTCACATATTGCTAGGTCAAAGACAAAAAGAAATAGATTATTGTTTTTCAAGAAGCTAAAATGGCATTTGATAAAATTCAGTCCTCATTCCAGCTTTCTCCTTAGTGATAAATTCTACAGATCTCCCTTTGAAATCAAGCTTACTCTAGAAGAGGCAGTAAAGCAACCATGAGGGCTGGAGAAGGGGGGGGAGGGATGTTATCGACAGATCAATTATTTGCAATTGATATGCAGTTTGGGGGGATTTTATTTTATCTGGAAAACCCAAGATAATCAAGCGTTTTAAGTATTAAGTTTTGTTTATGCCATTCTCCTTTGCTTCCTCCATGCCCCTCTTCACAAAGATCTGCAGTAACAGCCTACATTGCTTCACACAGGGTTTGGGACCAGATCAGTGGTTTTATTTATTTATTTATTTATTTATTTATTTATTTATTTATTTATTTATTTACTTTTAAAGAGTTTATTTATTTGAGAGAGAGAATGAGATAGAGCATGAGAGGGGGGAGGGTCAGAGGGAGAAGCAGACTCCCTGCTGAGCAGGGAGCCCGATGCGGGACTCGATCCCGGGACTCCGGGATCATGACCTGAGCCTAAGGCAGTCGCTTAACCAACTGAGCCACCCAGGCACCCTGTTTTTTGTTTTCAGATGGTCACCACCCTCAGGCATTAAGGAGTGAAGAGAGCAGGAAGGCTCAGTTTTATTTGGATTTGACAATCTATTTCAGGAATGAAGAAGCTTCCAACCAAATGCAGTGCTCTGGGACTGCGTTATGGTCTTTCACTAAGATTACAGGAATACCATGAGCCAAACAGGATGCTTACTAGAATTACACTTTTTTTATTTTCCCTTGCACTCAGTTCATTTGCATAGCTGTACATTGACATTGAGGCTAATTTACAGGGGGGTTCAGTAAATTCTCTCGATGTTCTGGAAGGTGGTCAGAGCAGGACATTGGACGAGTGCTCTCTCTGCTGCAGGATCGTAGTTGGTGTGACATCTCATTTAATGGCTGGAGCACAATATATCTGCTCTAGCAAAATGGTCATTTCCATGTCAGGCCAGCAAAACTTCATTTTTGTTTAAAACATAGTTATCTTTTCCACTTTTTATTTTAGTAAAAAGGAAGAATGGCTGGGATAAATATCAAGAAAGAATGAGAAAAATAAATGTTTCAAATTAAAGTGTAAGGAGGGGCACCTGGGTGGCTCAGTCGTTAAGCGTCTGCCTTCAGCTCAGGTCATGATCCCAGGGTCCTGGGATCGAGCTCCGTATCGGGCTCCCTGCTCGGCGGGAAGCCTGCTTCTTTTCCCACTCTCCCTGCTTGTGTTCCTGCTCTCGCTATCTCTCTCTCTCTCTCTCTCTCAAATAAATAAATAAAAAATCTTTAAAAAAAAATAAAGTGTAAGGAAATACACAGCATTTCTCTCAAAGCTAAAAGCTATGATTTTAATCAGATCACAATATAAATGATGCGATTCAAGCATTCGGTATTGGGAGCGGTGCTTTGGAACTTTGAGATTCACAGCCAAAGCATATATTTTAGAGGACTCGTGCAATGTAGATGGTATGTTTGTGTTTTAGGCAACATTTTCCTGTACCTGTGAGGATCCGTACGTGGGCACTTTCTGTGAAGAATTTGATGCCTGCCAGCGGAAGCCCTGTCAGAACAACGCCGGTTGTGTGGACGCAAATGAGAAGCAAGATGGGAGCAACTTCACCTGCGTCTGCCCTCCTGGTATGATTTGCACAGATTAGTTATCATATATCTCTCTGTAGAAGATACACTTATTAAGTAAGGGTGGCTAGGTGATACATTGTTCAGCTGCAAGACAAGACAACTTTAACATCTCATTTGATTCCCTCAGGCTGGGAGTCATAGGCCTGGGAATGGAAGAGGGAAATTCGCATGGGGATAGATATCCTGTTCCTTGGCTGGCTTTCTGACGTCAGGATGCTTCTGCCTTCGCGGTCCACCATTTTTGTTCTGGGGTAATGATATGCTTGGTCAAATAGAGGTCTGGACATTTCAGAAAGAGTTCTGTCCACCATTTTTGTTCTGGGGTAATAATATGCTTGGTCAAATAGAGGTCTGGACATTTCAGAAACAGTTCTGCAAATATGTGCCGAGTGTGGACTGGGACTTGCTGGGTGATTACGCTCGGTAACAAGAAAAATCCAGGATAATCTATGCAGGTTGCTATGTAAAGCCACCTCATCTTTTCTTTTATGTTAATTTCCTTTGGTTTGTGTATGTTCATTAGGCCAAGTTCTTGGTACGCTGTTCTCCACAATGGTGAGGGGGGTCTTCAACGTTCCTTGATCAGTATGGGGGATTGGTGGGTACTACATAAGACTTTTGCATCCTCGGAGCCCAGTGGGCGACCAGTAGGAGAGTGCAAGCCAGTGTCCCCAAACTTCTGTGCTCTGCAGTCATCTTAGTTGACTTACTGCTTAGCCAACTCGATTGTTAACACTCAAGGAGAAGGAATGGCATTTACCAGTGAACATTCTGATACAGCTATTTTGATACAGCTTAAAAGTCAACACCAAGTTCCTCCCTTTTTTTTACTGTCAAATAGCATGCAAAATTGGCATCACCTTTCCTTTTCTCTCATCCTGTTGCCAACATCTGCCTCTGGGTGGGGATTCAGGATGAGGTAGGAGTTGGGGAAGGCCAGAGGGATGGAGTGAAGGGGCAGCTGGAGTAATGAAGTGCTCATTATAAGAAATAGGATCCAGTGGTGCAAAAGTTTATAGACAAAAGGTGAAAGTTCTTCCCTCATCTCTCCCAACCCAAAGCATCAGTCACAGGGGCAGGTTAATAATCTGGTATATTCTTTCCAGACCAGTGTGTGTGTGTGTGTGTGTGTGTGTGTGTGTGTGTGTGTGCGCGCGCGCGCACGTGTCTATGTGCAAGTGTATGTATTTCTCTTGCGCACCAGATGATTAAGTATTTTTCTATATGCCTTTTGAAAAAAGTGATTATATTATACATACTGTTTTATAACTTGCTTTATTCCATGTATATTTACCAGTAGATCATAGACAGCCTTCCATGTCAATATGTATGGATTTGCCTCATTCATTTTAACAATTTCACAGTGTGTCTCCTAAACTTGTATCTCCAGGTCACACTCCCTCCAAACTCACTCACCTACTGTTTACTTGGCATCCGCATTTGGATGTCCCAGGCCACCTTAAGCTCAGCCATTTGCAAAACCGAGCTCATCGTGCCCCCTTCCCACTCTGCTCGGCTTCCAGTGTTCCGTCTGTTTCTATAAGCCAGACATCTGCAAGTCATCCGAGGTGCTTCCCTCTCCCTCTCTGTCCACACCCCTTCTACCTCCAGGGGTTCTTCATTTTACCATCTAGAGACCTCTCAAACCCAGCACCCTCTCTGCAGCCCCACGGCCGCCACCCCTAGGCCAGCTGCCTCTGCCCCTTGTCTGCGCTGCTGAGGTCACCTCCCACTGCTTGTCCATGTTCTCCTGACTGTGCTGCCTGCTGAACCAGAGTGATCGTGCCAAAGTGAGCCCCCGCTTTCGTCCCCACACCCTCCCTTCTCTACCTGGTTGCAGGTGATTGTTTTCCTATGCAGATCTGATGTACTTGCTTTCCTCCTTCAATCCCTTCTTTCCATTGCTCTTTGGTCCATGATCTGTCTCTTGGGCGCCTTTCCAGCCCCATCTCCCTCCACTGTCCGCCTTGCTCTGGGCCTGGCCACTTTGGCCTTTCAGGTCCCTGACAGCCCGAGCGAGCTCCTGCTGCTGCGGGGCCCACCTCTCTTCTTTGGGCCTGGGTGGCTCTTTCTCCTGCTTCCCTTTGGCCTGGGTAACTACCCCAAGGTTTTTGTTTCAGACCTCTGTGAAATGCCCCCTGTCCTCCTTCCGGAAGCCTCACTAAATGCTGCAAGCTAGTCTCTCTCCCTTTTCCCCTTTCATAACTGTGTGCTCCTTCCCTTGACAGCCTGCATCTGTTTTCAGTGTGCATTTACACGTGTGGTCTTCTGATCACTGCCTGTCTTCCCCACCAGCGTTAACCTCAAGGGAGCGGGGCCTGAATCAGTCTCGCTCATCATTGTATCCCATAGGGTCTGACAAATCATGGGCGCTTACTCAAGGTGTTGATAAGGTGAATTAATGAAAGCAGGTAAACATAGCCTCATGTTTTATTTATTTATTTTTAATTTAAAGATTTTTATTTATTTATTTAACAGAGAGAGAGAGACAGCAAGAGAGGGAACACAAGCAGGGGGAGCAGAAGAGGGAGAAGCAGGCTTCCTGCTGAGCAGGGAGCCCGATGCAGGGCTCGATCCCAGGACCCTGGGATCACCACCTGAGCCGAAGGCAGATGCTTAACCGACTGAGCCACCCAGGCGCCCCTAGCCTCATGTTTTAAACCATTCCTCTAGTGATGGGGCCTTAAGATGTCTTCAGTTTCTCTTTTATAAGTAATGTCAGAACAAATAAAGAACCTTCTATAAATAGTCTCAGTCAGGTCAGTGGGTGGAGCTTGTCATTGTTTGGACTAAAATGACTTCAGTTTGATATTTTACCCAAGTGTGGTGTCAAAGGGCATTTCTCCATTTTATTGAAGGAACTTGTGTGCACAGAATTGGAATGATCATAATGCGGGGTTGGTGACGCTCTCTCATTTTGTCCATATCCTGCTTTTATATATTTACTTAGCTATTTTAATAATGTAATAATCACTGGTGAAACCAACATCAAAACCAGAAGTTCAACCCTATAACTAGTGATTGTCATCTACGGGTGACAATCACTCTGAACCTTGAGTTGATCAGTCCTTTGTTTTCCTTTTTATAAAGTTTTAATATTTACATGTTTTTGTAGAAGCATTTAGTTTTGCTCTAATTATTTTCAATTTATAAAAACAGCAGCATGTGTGAATGCTGTTATGGTGTCATGCCTGTAATTCTCTGGGGCTTCCTTTTTTCATGAGATGCATCCATATTGTTTGAGTTCATTCTTTTGGGCTGCTATATAAAATTCCATTCATCTACTCCCCCGTGGACAGGGACTGATGCACATTTGTGTATGTGTCTCCTGTTGTGTATGTATTAGAAACTGTTTTACGTATCCACCTCCGAGTGGAATTGCTGGAACATAGGATATGTAATGGATCACTTATAGGAGATCACGCCAGACTCTTTCCCGAAGTGGTTTTGCACCAATAAGGACTCCCACGTGTGATGCATAATTGGTTTTGTGAATTCATGTCATCCTCAAGGTTTTGTAGTGTCAGAGGTTTTAATTTTTCCTAACCGAATGGGTGTAAAAAAGTGTCTCATGGTGGTTTCTGTACTTTGTGGTTCTCTAATGACACTGAGCTCCTCTTCATGTGTTCATTAGCTTTGTGTGTCTTTTCTATGAAATACTGTCTTTCTATCCCTTGCTCCTGTGTGTGTATGTGTGTGTGTTCTTGTTGGTTGGTAAGAATCCTTTGTTTCTTTCTTTTTTTTTTTTTTTACCTTTGTTTCTTTTTGATACTAACCATCTGTCCCTTGTGTGAATTGCAAGTATTTTCTCCAAGTTTGTAAATTGTCTTTTCACTTTGAGGGGTCTTTGGATGAATGGACATTCTTACTATGTTTTGCAAACTTTACTTCTCTAGTTAATTACATTTTATACCCATTTAAGAAAATATTTCTTTGCCTGAAGAGCTAAAAGATATTAACCTATATTTTCCACTCAGCATTTAAAAATGTGGTTTTTGCCAGTCTTGAATTAATATGAATTTTATTTTTGTATATGTTGTTTGAGACAGGGATCTAATTTCATCATTTACTATAATTTTATTTTTCTTCTTCTTTGAAAGTACCCCATATGTGTAAATGTGGAGTATGTGAAACTTTATACTGTGTCCCTCCTAAAAAGCTACCGACAGAATTAGGAATGACTGGATGCCTAATACACTTTTAACTGTGCTGACTCTCAGGCATTTCTGCACTGTCATGATTTAACCATTGATTTGAAATTTTCAGAAGCGTAAGTAACTGTTTTTGCTTCTTAGTGGGGAAAAAGATTTCACCTGTATCATCTAAGAGGGCTTAACATCTTCCATGTCAATAGCACATCCTGGCTAGGCGGCACATATATGTATGTAGGATACTCCATGGGACTTCTAATAATAGCAATAACAATAAAAAATACTTTGACTCTCAATTGGCATCCGGGCCAGAGAGTTGCATCACAAGAATATGAATTTTGATAATTCTACTTAGATTCAGGGACAGTCTGGCGATTGCCAGTCCTGCCTCTGTCAGGGTCTCCCCAACTCCCAGCAGCTTTCCCTCCTTGCCTTTTGCAGAGCTGGGTCTGTGCGCTTCCCTTCCTCATGGCCTCCATTCGTCCTCATGCTCTAGAACAGATCCTAATCCGAGCTAGAAGAGATTTAGGAAAGGTTACCCTGGTGCCCTCACTCTTTGCTCGTCTGCTTTCTGACTTCGGAATCCTGCTGTTCTCTTAAGCAGGCAGGGCTCTACAGTTCTCAGTTCTTCTCAGTTCTCATTCCCAGTAGGACAAGCCCCTCCCCCTTCTAGCTTCTAGCTCCACCTCTCAATAAGCTGCTCACTGCACACGCACGTGTGTACACACACACACACACACAAATAGCTACTGTTTATTCAGTGTTTACCACCATTACATTCTATTACTTTTTATTTCTCCGTCCCCTGTCAGTGCCAAGCCCCGTGCCTCGCATATTCATAGACAG